GAATAAGACGTCAAAATCATGTGAAAATATAGCAATATAGCTAGTAGTTTTCCTTGTGTTTCATTAACAACAAAATAAGCCCCCAAACGTTTTTGAAATTATTTTTTTCGTCAATGGCAATAATCTATGACAAACACTGTTGGAGACTGATGGTAAACATTCCAACTCACCGGTGAAACTTATACAAGACTCTTCTTCAGTTTACGAATAACGTTCAAAATTCAGTCGTGAAGAAAATGAAACAGATACGGCGTAGTTAAGCAGTTTATAACTACCCATTCCATTTGCTTGACACCGTAGCTACTTACATTACAAATGATTTTCTTCCGGTTTACAATCAGTGTCATAAGAGGGGAGGTCACTCTGGTACAAATCGAAAACGAAAGTAGAATATAGTAACCAAAGTATGCGTCTTCAGATTTTCGGAATAATTCCTTGCGTTTAAAATATATTTTAAGAATATCATAAATAAATTTAAGTTCATAAAGCCTTATATCGGAAAGTTTTTATAAGGATATAAATAGATATACACTTGCTTTTGTGATAAAACGTATATTAATTACGACTAGAATTACTGTTCTAATTCCGTGGTTATATTTTGTGGGACAATAATCATAGGTGTTTGAAATTCTGACTGTGAATTGAGATAAAAATCATATAAAAAAAATAAGGGTATTACTATAAAATACCTGTTCTTTTTTTTATAGTAATACCCTAATTTTTTATATGATTTTTATCTCAATTCACAGTCAGAATTTCAAACACCTATGCAATCATACGTAATTACAAATAAAAGACAATATAGGGAAGACAAAAAACCACCGGGATTTTAGGTTACATTTTTCTTGTCAAGTAATCTCTATGTATAGCCAGTAGGTTAACATATAATACAACACAGCAACACAAGCCTGATAAGGCTTTAACAATATGAAAAATCGTATACCATACATGAGTGGCAGCACAACTACCATAAATCTGTAATTAGACTTTTTTTTTTTGATTTATTTACTATTATTTTATTTATTTATGTAATAGTCTATTATCTATTTATTTATCTATATTCAAACTGTTGAAGGCGGTTAATATATAGTAGAAGTAGAAGTCATCTAAAACAATGTAAGATACTCGTAATTTTAGATAAAATTATCATATCTTTCAAATTTAATATCTATTGTACATGAAACGGGAGATGGAAATGCAAATGTATGTACGGGGTTCGAACTCGGGGCCCTCTGAACTCTAGGCGGGCGCTCTACCAATCGCAGACGATCGACCCAGTCGAGTTCCGGTGATGCATTCCACACTCGGCTTTTTCGAGAAGTCTTTGCCCCCGATGTAAGACACAAATATTTATAACCCAGGTTCGGGCATCCCCTTGTCAAGCGTACACAGACTCCACGTACTGTAACAGGGGATGGAAAAATGCACGGCCACACCAGGGTTCGAACCCTGGAACCACCAAACTCTAGACGTACTGGATTGAACGGACTGAACTGGGGTCGAGTCCAGTTCGGCTACACTCAAATTACACTCGGAAAAAAGTTACAACAGCAGCTAAAGCGAGTTAGCCTAGTGAACGTAACAGGTAATGAGGAGGACACATAATTGGCACTAGAATGATTATTCAAGAAAAAATCTGTTGGCACAAAGAGCAGATACAAGTTTGTAAAAAAGTAGCTGACTTGACATGATTGGGTAAAAACATTCCAAGAGATTGCAGCTAAACACTAATTAAACCTCTCGGTTCCAACTCTTACACTTTAAGTTATTGGAGTAAGGATACGAGTTTCTTAGGAATCTTGCAAGAAGCGTGGTTTCGATGTCTGGCGACAAGTTTTGTTCCTACTAATATGAAGGGTAGGGAACAAATCTCTTTTCAAAAAGTGTTTTATAGTTTGAGTGGTAATCTTGATATACAGATTTTAAAGCTCTAAAGAACATAATTTTGCAAGAATTTGGAAGTTTAATTTTAAGCAAAAAGTTGTCGCAACAGAGGGAAAAATTTCAAATGTAACAAGATGAAGACGCGAAGCACTTCGATCGCTCCTGTAAGGTAAGACATTTCCCGCTGCACCTCGTTGTGGGCGAAAATACGAGAATCTGTTTTTTTCCCCTTCAATTCTCGTTGTTTCGGTTTTTTTGGGGG